TTCTTCTGTCTCTTACTTTCTGCGACGGGTGTGTCCGCTCCACCCATTCCGGCCAACCCGCTCTTCATCCCGGTGAAGGTGGTATAGGCCAACCAAACAGAATATATAGGAATCACGATCCATAACCACCAAGCGCGATCCCCAAATAGACAAACTGCCCCCATACAGCCCCAGGTCCAGTAGAGGACATCCCACATGTACTCCGTCAGACCGGAAGCTCCGAGGTCTTCTCCGGGGGACCGCAGGGAGCCATCGGCGGGGTTGTAGATCGGACGGCCCAGTCGTTCAAGATAGAATTCGATTGCGAGTGTCGGACATGCGAGGAAGAAGTATGGCTTTAACGAGCGTGGACGATTGAAGGTCCAGTGCAGGAGCAGGAAGATTGAATGCAGACAGAGGGTGATTATATGCGTACGCAAGAGGAGGGAGCCATTGCGGGCGGCAAGTGTCTTGGCTGCTTTCTATAATGGGTCAGTATGTCGCTTAGGTCTTCTCTCCTTTTGATCTTTCATTCTGTGAAGATCGAGGATTGAAAATGCGGATGGTAGAGGAAGTGATGTACCTGCGCCATAGTGACGGAATGTTCAGTAATGTTAAAGAGAAGAGGCAATCGACGCAGGGGCGATAAACGTAGACGCAGATGAATGTGTCTGTTCGGCAAATCCTCATACAGATTATATTTCAAATATAATAGCACAAGGTATTATAATACTAAACACATGTTCCCTTCTTCTTGATGTTATCTCGTGCGCACTGGAGTATAAAGGAGTAGCGGCATGGTCGGTTGCCCGCCACGACAAGACAAGCGCCCGCGCCTCCGCCAGCACCAGCCACTTTTCCTAATCTGTTATACTCGGCAGCCCCAAAACATCCGCATGCTCCAAAAAAGGCACGACCTGGACCTGGATCTGGCCTGACACGATCGATCGACTTGACACTTTTCCTCACCCGCCCCTCTTGTTTCGGGAAGCCGTTAGCTGCGCGCCTTTCGCTTGTCATACTCAACTCTGGACCGGATTTCATCTCCCGATATGCCTTTTTGATTTCCCTTGGAGGCTCTTGCTTTGCCTGGAGGGCGTCACGAGTCGTCCTGGACGTCATCCATTCACTTTGGCTTCGACACGGCCTCACCTTGAGTCGACATCGGGAATTCGCAAGGTAAAGGTGGACGAACCGATGAAAGGATTTTGTAACACTGCAAAGCGCTTACTCTAAACCCCGCGGCTCTTTGTGTCTTATTCTTTGTTGTTTGGACGTGGACCACTAGTCTCCGCAGTAAAGGGAGCTTTGCATCGTCGTTTCCTCACCTCTGTTTGTCGACAGTTCCGGGACTTAATCATCAGAAAAGACGGCCTGCGATCACGGCCGACCTCATGCTCGCCTATTGCTCGACAACATCCCCTCACCGACTCTGACCCGCGTACTAAGTACCCTGGCCTCACAACACCAACACTTCTCCCTAGTTTCGCATACCTAGAACACGCAAACATGTCGCCATCAATATCCTACATTTCAGGCCAGCTTAGGCAGCTAATATATTATCATCTCGATAACAATTTGTGCCGCAATGCACTGTTCCTCGCCGGTCGTTTACATGCTTACGAGCCGCGAACGGCGGAAGCGTCATATTTACTCGCTCTTTGTCACCTCCAGAACGGTCAAGTCAAAGCCGCATACGATTACAGCAGGAATTTTGGATCGAGAGGCACCCACCTCGGCTGCTCCTATGTCTTCGCGCAAGCGTGCTTGGACCTAGGAAAGTATCTGGAAGGTATCACAGCGTTGGAGCGAAGTAAAGGGCTTTGGGCTTCCAAGAATCACTGGAGTAAGCATTCCTCACGCTGAGTCTTGCACTCAACTCGCATTTATCTCGTTGCTTTTCTGTTACTGACATATTTGCACCTTTTGCTCTAGATAAGCACAGTGAGACGCGAAGACAACACCTGCCGGATGCAGCTGCAGTATTCTGCCTGCTAGGTAAACTGTGGCATGCGCATAAGGACATCAACAAAGCTGTAGAATGCTATGTTGAATCTCTGAAGCTGAATCCCTTCATGTGGGACGCGTTCCAAGGGCTGTGCGATACCGGTAAGCTTTGGAGGATAAACTTACTACATCTACCCATGGCTAATTGTGTTCTACCGCCAAGGCGTCAATGTCCGCGTGCCGAACATCTACAAGATGAATTCTGAATTGCTGGCTGTATTGTCTTCATCGCCGCAAGAGGACGCTGAGCCAATATCCGATAAGTCTGTACACACGAATGGGCCACTGCAAGCGCAGGCGAATGTCAATCCAAGTTCCGATCCTTTTGCCTCGACAACCTCTCGCAGTGATTCAGGTACCAGCCATGGGAGCTCTGCCTTGTGGGAAAAACTAAATGGAAGCACAGTAAGCGTGGCGTCATCGGGAGTGCCAACATCAATCGTGCATGAAGGGGCGGAAACGCCCAGCGGACAAAGCAGCGGATCTGATGACTTCCGGTTAGCCAATGGAATGAACGGTGTGGACGCTCAATGGGACCCTCCTTTAGCTCCTGCAAGGAAAAACAGAACGATCCAGGCAATAAGCGGCGAGTATCCAATGGATCCCCCGCCCAAGATGAAACCCACGGGGATCCGACCAAGGACAAGGACCAGGACTGAGCCAGAGGACCAAATATCAGCCCAGACAGACCGGGAGGCTACACTTGCGCCCAGGGTCGGGGACCGCAAGCGAACTGTTTCTGGTCAGGTAGCGCATCCACCCACATCACAACCCACGGAACCAGGGGCACCCCAACGACGGAGTGTACGACTCTTCAACCAGATTAAACCCACCACCAGCAAACTGTCGGCATCCGCACTGGGAGTCAAGGATGCTAGAGAGGTCAAGAAGGCGAAAGCCACGGGTACGAAGGGCCGTACTACAACAACCACCATGGGACGAGTAGTGAGTGGCAGTCGAAAACATGGCAGCGAACATCATGATGCAGATAAAGACGGTCGGTCGGGAACATCATCACACACTTACGCCATCTCCAAAGGCGCTTCCCTTGAAAGGTCAAAAGAAATCGAGGCGTTGGCCTGGCTGCTGGAGCTGTTCTCCAAACTTGCTTCTGGATTCTTTGCCCTGTGTCGCTACCGGTGCTCGGAGTCAATTCAGATCTTTAATTCGCTCTCTCAGGGCCAACGGGAAACGCCGTGGGTTCTCGCTCAAATCGGACGAGCGTATTATGAGCAGGCGATGTATTCCGAGGCCGAAAAGTACTTCTACCGTGTGAAGACAATGGCACCCTCGCGCTTAGAAGACATGGAGATCTACTCGACCGTCCTTTGGCACCTGAAGAACGATGTGGAGTTAGCCTACTTGGCCCATGAGTTGATGGAAACAGATCGCCTGTCGCCACAGGCGTGGTGCGCCATCGGTAATTCTTTCTCCCACCAGCGGGACCATGACCAGGCCTTGAAGTGCTTTAAGCGGGCAACACAGCTGGATCCCCAGTTTGCCTACGGGTTTACTCTACAAGGGCACGAGTATGTTGCCAACGAAGAATACGACAAGGCGCTGGATGCATACCGTCACGGTATCAGCGCTGATAGCCGGCATTACAACGCTTGGTACGGATTGGGCACAGTCTATGACAAAATGGGTAAACTGGACTTTGCCGAACAACACTTCCGGAATGCGGCAAGTATCAACCCGACCAACGCAGTGTTGATCTGCTGCATTGGTCTCGTACTGGAAAAGATGAACAATCCTAAAGCGGCTCTCGTGCAATATGGTCGCGCTTGTTCCTTGGCGCCTCATTCCGTCCTCGCGCGATTTCGGAAAGCTCGCGCATTAATGAAGCTCCAGGAGCTCAAGTTAGCCCTGTCCGAGTTGAAGATTCTCAAAGACATGGCTCCAGATGAAGCCAACGTGCATTATCTGTTGGGTAAGCTCTACAAGATGCTTCACGACAAAGCGAATGCCATTAAGCACTTCACAACTGCTTTGAACTTGGACCCTAAGGTATGCCCTCACTTTCGTTCTCTTATATTACCGGAGAATGCTAACGGGTTCGATTTCAGGCAGCACAATACATCAAGGATGCCATGGAATCCCTCGACGATGACGAGGAGGATAGTGAGGACATGACTTGATTTGCAGTCCACTTTCCATACATCGATCCAATTCTGGATCTTACTTGTTCCCCCCCTTTCTTCACCAGGTGCCTGCTATCCAGGGCTTGCATTCATGAGAGTCGGCGTTGAATTTGATTTTGGATTTTCGCAGCATTAGCATTATAAGGGCGTTTTGCAGGCCGGGTTGGTTAGCGGTGCATTTACCCTGCATCAGGTTCTCCAAAAGGGACCCGAGGCTCGTGGATCTTGTTTCTTGTATATTAGCGTGGGTTGGCTTTGTCGGGCTGGTCATTGGCTGCATATGAGAGACGAAGACGCCTGGACGACAGATTCATGGACATAGATGTCTGTCGAACAAGGCACTTGCATAATCTGCGATGTCATTCTTATGCCTATTCTTATTCTTACGGAAATCAATTCCATCATACTTGAGCCTGAACCATGGAATTACCTCAAGAATAACTAATACACTCACTACTGCGTACTTCGTAGAAGTAATTGCACTGCAAGGCGGTGAGCGGCAGAATGATGTTGGTGCCCCGAAAATCAGGAAAAAAGTTCCAGAGTTGAACAGGCACGATTATCGTTGATCTTCTGGCACGAGCATCAACGACCCATTCTTCGGTCTTCCTTATTCCTAATCTCCAGCCGGTTACCAGGCCTTAGAATCCCGAACCCGCCAACCTCTGTCACGTCCTCGGGGTCATGGCCATTGCCGCTTTCTAAGTCTCCTGCGCATCCTTGTTCCGACCACCACGCCTGACCTCATACCCGAAATCAGCTGCCACGGAGGGGTACGGCTCAGCAAGAGTGTGAATATTACGACTTAGTGACTTCGAGACTACTTATACAGCTTACCGTAACCCTAAAGTTTGCTTTCTCTGGACATTTGACATGTCGCTCCTGTCCTACATCGCCTCGGGCATCAGCTCGTTTGTCGTCGTGACGCTTTCCCTTTTCGCACTCGGCCAAAAAGTCCCTCGCGCGGCCTTTTTCGCTCGGTGTCTGGCGGCCTATGGCTCTCTCTTGTTTTGCGCATGCTACGGCGTGATCGCATCCATTCTCCTTCGCCTCGTAGGCTACGGCCGGGTCTCGCAATGGGCCACCGCGCGCAGCTTCAAATGGGTTATGCGGTATACAACCGGCGTGCAGTTCGACATTATCCAGGGCGCCGAGCACCTCTCCACCCGGCCTGCAGTCTTCATCGGCAACCATCAGTCCGAGCTCGACGTGCTCATGCTGGGTTACATCTTCCCTCCCTACTGCAGCGTCACGGCAAAGAAGTCGTTGAAAAATATCCCCTTCCTGGGCTGGTTCATGGCGCTGTCGCGGACGGTTTTCATTGACCGGGCCAACCGCGAGACGGCAATGAAGGCGTTTGACGGTGCGGCGGAGGAGATACGCAAGTACAGACAGAGCGTGTTCATCTTCCCCGAGGGAACGAGGAGTTACTCTGAGAAGCCCGAGCTGCTGCCTTTCAAGAAGGGCGCGTTCCATCTGGCGGTCAAGGCGGGGGTGCCGATTGTTCCTATCGTCGCGGAGAATTACTCGCATATCCTGTCGCCGCGGAATATGCGGTTTAACCCTGGCGTGATCAAGCTCAAAGGTGTGTGCATGTGATGTTTCTTTTGCCCGATATGAGATTAACTGACCCCTCCTAGTCTTACCTCCCATCAGCACGGAGGGCTTGACCGCTGCGGATGTCGACAGATTGACTAAAACAACCCAGGAGAGCATGCTCAAGGCTCTCCTCGAGCTCTCCGATCAGGATCGCGATGAGATCGACTCAGAAGTCAAGAAGGCTACTTCCACGGCTGTCGAGATCTGATCGGTTGCACGACCGTCCACGAGTTACGATCACGTCGGCGCGGCCTGTCTATTCTTCGCCTCTTATATGACTGACGGCTGTATTGATATTCGAAATGACAACAGGGCCAGATGAGCTCGCGTGCTCTAGAATTCCTAAGAGATATTTGGTGCCTGGGGATGGGTTGTGGATAGACCTGCGGGATCTAGATTTTGGATACGACTACCAGAGATGCCGTGGAGAACAATTGACGTACGAATCATTCACTTTCTGCTTTCCTATAAATTTTGCGGACTATTGTGTGCAAAGAGCCTGACGGAGTGTACATAGCGTTATCCTTCAAGCGTTATTTTGTATTGTTGGGTGTGGATGAAGATGAATAGATATTTATTTACCCCTGCTTCGCTTCGTCAGACGCTTAAACGCTAAGACAGACTCTCCTAGGACTCTTTCTTTACACACTGACAAACACCCGTCGCACAAGGTGCAATGTCCCTGTCGATATCGATCTTCTCCATGGGCATCCAGGGATCTACCGAGACAGCGACGCCCGCATCCCCGGACAATGGCCGACTCTCGGCCCCCAATCTGGCCCCTCGCGCCGCCGTCGCAAATATATACCCCTTCTCAAACGCGACTACCTCAATCCGCACATCTTCCACCCTCTTCCCGTACAGCCAGGTCTTGATACCAGTGTACGGCTCCCCCCAATCCCCGCCCAAGCCCTGCACCGGCGCCGGGGCAACGACATCCGTAAACTCCAGCTCCCGCAGCCACGGCGCGAGCAGCGCCTCACCAGTCATCTTGATATACGCCTCCTTGAGAGCCCAGTACGTGTAGAACAGGCGGAGGCCGTACTCCACCGCTTCGCTGTCCTGCGCGTCAGCCGGGAATCTCCCGCCCAGGTTCTTGATTGTTTCCAGCTCCCGCGCGGAGAAGACTTCCGTGAAGATGTCGACGTATCCGGCTAGTTGGTTGCGGGTTGATGGGGCGGAGCTTGTGTGTGCGCGCCGCTCGTCCACGCAGGTGATGTCTATGCCTACCTGGGGGACGGATGGGGCTGGGACCGAGGATGGGCTGGGGTTGGCGAATACCGCTGCCGGGGTGGTGCATGCGTCGCGGGACGATGGGATAATTGTGCCTGCGAGTGCTACGAGAGATGCTTGGTGGCTGACGTTGAATTCGATGTTGGGGATGGGCTCGTCGGAGGCCACGGTCAGAGCAGGAGAGGGGATAAAGCATGGTCGGCGGTGAGGATCTGGGGTGCGACTGATGCTGATCTTGTTCCAGGGGATGTGGCAGGAGCGGTGTATGAAGAGGTATTTCAGTAGGTTTGAGGCGAGGGACATGTGTCTGTCCCTGAGGTGGTAGAACTTCTTGACTGTCTCTTGGTCCGACGGTTGGAGGGTCTCCAACAATGGGAGTGATGGATTTGTCGCTGTCAGTGTGCGCGTGTCTATATACCATCGCGTAAGAGAGGGTTTCGTCTCTTTTAGTACCGAGCCCATTTTTCCGGACAATGCAATCCCAGCAGTAAGATTCGCGAGCAAAGAGCTGTATCTTCGAAGAACGAGGGAGTACAGGGTGAGCTAGTTGTGTAGGCTAATTGGTCGCTCTGCTACGGCAAATAAGGGAAGCAAGGAAAACAAGCAGTGCCATAAAGTGTCATCGAGTCATATCCATCATCATCAAACATGATAATATCAAATGCATATGCTATGAGACATCGGGAATCCTTTGCTGACACTCAGAACAACAATCTTATCAGTAGGCGGGGTAGCACGTGCTGATAAAGACCGGCCGAATGTTGACCCGCTTAGGTAATGGGTCTATACAGGAACAAAGAGAGTGGCCAAGGTGTGAGTCAAAAAGTTATTATTTTCTACAAGCAGGAATTACCATGGCCAGCATCACTGTCGGGGTTCTCGCTTTACAGGGTGCATTCTTTGAGCACATCCAGCTGCTGAAAAAGGCAGTCTCGGAACAAAGCTCCACTACTCAATGGGAGTTCATTGAAGTTCGGACACCGCAGGAGTTGGATCGGTGTGATGCGTTGATTCTCCCTGGAGGAGAGAGCACGACTATCTCTCTCGTCGCGGCCCGATCGAACCTCTTGGAGCCTTTGAGGGACTTTGTGAAGTATGTTCGCGCAAGGCTATCCCGTCAATGCGACTGACAGTCTGTTTTCTTAGGGTCCATCGCAAACCGACCTGGGGCACCTGTGCCGGGCTGATCCTGCTCGCCGAGTCTGCTAATCGAACCAAGAAAGGCGGACAGGAGCTCATAGGAGGTCTCGACGTTCGCGTAAACAGGAATCACTTTGGCCGGCAAACGGAGAGTTTCGAGGCCCCCCTAGATTTGCCGTTTTTGGGTCCGACCGAGCAATCCTTCCCGGCAGTTTTTATCCGAGCGCCCGTGGTGGAAAAGATCCTGCCTCATCAAGAAGGTATCCAGGTGGTCGAAACACAAAGGGACGAGACGGTGGTGGCGCCTTCGAAACAACCCCAGGGCCAGGCGGCCAAGGCGGCGATGTCCGACGGCGTTGAAGTACTAGCAAGTCTCCCCGGCAGAGCAGCTAAACTAGCCGCCGCGGGAACGCATATCGACGCAGATAAAGAGACCGGCGACATCGTCGCAGTCAAGCAGGGTAATGTATTCGGGACAAGCTTTCACCCCGAGTTGACAGGTGATGCCAGAATACATTCCTGGTGGTTGCGCCAGGTGGAGGAGTCGGTAAGGAAGAGGAAGGGAATATAAAGAGTCATAGACTTGGCAATTCTTGACCAAGGAATTGTTGATTGTTGGGTATCTGGTAGAATTTTCCTTTCCTTGAACAGCCGGTGCAGTTTCCCGGTATGATAGAGATGACCTTGTCGATGTACAAACGCCTTGTCTGCGCCAATAGACCACGCAAATTTACTTCCCAATTACTTACCTTTGCCGTACTCTTCTTCTTCCCGCCTGCGCTGGTCATCTGCGTATGCCCGGCCATAACCACCACGGCCCGGATCGTACTCTTCACGGTATTCGTCGCGCACCTGCCCACCAGACTTTCCTCGTCTTCGCTGAAAGTTAGATACTCCTCTTCTCTTTTCTGGTAAAGATGTAGCACCACGTACCCATACTGACGTCCTTCCTCGAAGCCAGGGTCAAGATCTGTACGGATAATCCGCTCATCAAGCTTGGTGCCTCCGATATACTTTAAGCAGTCCAAGGCATCCTGATGGGTGTAGTATTCCACAAAGCAGAAGCCACAGGGAGTTTTGTTGTATCGATCCAGTCCCATTACAAGGCGCTTGATTTCACCGCACCTATATGCGCCAGTTAGTTCTTGGCATCATCCATGACGGGCCTGTGGATCCGCTGACTTTGAGAAAAGCTCATGAATTTGCTCCTCTGTTGTATAAAAAGACCTTTAGAAAGTCAGTATGCGCCATACTTATGGCAATGTTTCGGTCTATAGGCCGACATACAGGTTTCCGACATAGAGTGTTGTGGCATCCTTCAACTTGTCGACTGGGTCCTCCGGCCTCTCAGAGTCATCCTGGCTGTACTTGCGTTTCTTGTTCTGCTTCAAAAAGACCTTATTAGGAAATGAATAAAGCCAAAAGCAGTTTCGAAGCGCACCTTTGCCAGGTAATAGGCGCTAGGCCGATCCAGCCTATCGACCGTGTTGTGGACCAATGTACTCATTATGTTATCGACGCGGTCGTATATTTTAGGGAAGAAAGGCAATTGATTCAAGCAATATGAGATAATGGAGCTCGATATGTGCGAAATAGAGCAATGATGGAGATGACGGGAATGCAGTTTGAAGACGTAGGATAGCTGGACATCAAGAGCTCTCGAGGGCGGAGCTTTCACCTTGTCTTGGCGCGCTTTTCCTCCTGCAACCAAAAAATCCCCGGCCCGTTGTTTGTTGCTATCATTGCCGTCATTCCAACCAAACCTTCAATCTGATCAATCTATCCTCCTACCAGCTACTGAGGATATGGAATAAACCTCACTCATCACCCAATTTATTTTAACTTGTTCGCCATAATCGCCGACGATGCCGAAACTCATCAGCTACACTCCTCCATGGCTATCGCGTCCTGCACCTGGCGCAACACTCTTTGCAAGCACATCGACCAAAAAACCAGGTTATCTTCCGGAGAATGAGGCAGAGTATAGCGGCCCGACAAGGACCTTGGCAAAGCGAGGAAATGAGATCTTCACCGTGGTCAACAATCAGATCCGCTGGTCGAGCCTTACTCGGTTGAAGGATGTATGGCAGCAGCAGTCTAGAGCAAAGAAGGACGCTTCTGGTCAGACAAGGAGCTCTGAGGGGCCGTCAGATAGCGATGAGACAGACTATTACAGAGTATGGCTGATTCGCGCACGAGCATTTGCATGCCTAGCTCATTGTGGTGGCTAATGAATGACTAGGTTCTGATCGTACCAGTCTACGAACGGATTCGGCAGATGATTCCTTCTCCAAATGGCGCCTTTTTGGCCATCGTAACGGATCATACAGTGTACATCGCGGTGCTACCGGATTCATCGCATCTGTCTGGTACGGATCGCTCACCCATTCGTCTCAAGTATTACCAGCTTGGTCCCACTACGCACGTTATTCCAGAGTCGCCCGTTGTTTCGGCGCTGTGGCATCCCTTGGGGGTGCACACCAACCTAGGAGGCTGTCTTATCACCGTCACCGCAGATGCCGCAGTTCGGGTATGGGAGCTGGACCGGAACAACCACTGGTCATTCGACCGACCTACCCTGGCGGTTGACCTGAGGAAGTTGGTGGACGGAACATCTTGCGACCAGGACTTTTCACCTTCTGGATTTGGGAAGAACAAAGGATTCTCCGCCGATTTCGTGGATATGGAAGTCGCCTCAGCTTGCTTTGGCGGTAGCGGAAGCGAGAAGGAGAGCGCATGGGCACCAATGACACTGTGGGTCGCAATGCGACCTGGTGATCTTTATGCCCTTTGCCCGCTTTTGCCGTCAAAATGGCGAGCTCCTGCGACTACTATTCCCTCCCTTACTTCGGCCATTGTTCCAAAACTGTCGGCAATGGAGGAAGACTCGTCGGAATATGAAGATGAGCTGACAGCGTGCCGACAGCAGTATGACTGGCTCACGGAGATTGATAACCAGGATCCCTTGCAGACCATTGCTGGCTCAGATCTGGAGCCCGGGTCGGAGATCCTGACACGTCCCGCCAATCCCAGTGCGATCCCCAGGTTACAAGGTCCGTTCCGTGTCGACACTGGGGACGAGCTTGATGATTTGGACCTTTGTGACATCCTCGTCATTGCGTCAAAAGTCGACGTGGATGCTCTCATGATGGGTGAGGACGATGAGCTCTCAGTGGAAGACAACGATCAATTGTCGGCCACTGTTATCTGTCTCTCGACCCGCACTGGCAGGGTCCATATCTGCCTTGAACTTGATGGCGTCGAGGGGCAGTGGCTCCCCAAGCTCAAAAAAAATGCCTTCAGCACTCCCCTGTCTGAGCCGTCTGATTTGGTCTTGGTTGAGTCATTGGATACGATCAGACAAGAAGAGCAGCATTTGAATAACTGGCCGACCTTCACCAAAGACGTTATCTCTCGATACAGCTTCTTCGTCACGACCGCAACCAATGTCACATCTATTTCGCTAAGTTCGTGGGTGCAGAGGCTTGAGGCCGAGCTCGGGTCAGAGGATACGGCGGGCTCGGCTTTCCGTTTGCAAGTGCTGTGCGAAGGCACAGTATCGCTCAGGGAGCGAATCATCGAAGTAGATGATGGTGGCAGTGCTGTTAAAGGCGAATCAGACCATCTGGCCTCTTCTCTGGTTTTCTATGACTATGATCTTGGTTATCTGCTGTTGAGCCACCACGCCTCTCGCCCGTATGCTGCCATCATGGATGCGCCTGAGGTTAGCCTTCCACCAATTGCAGATATGGGACCAATTGGTTCAGGGGCGCAGGCGCCAACTTCTCCGATTCTACCACCCAAAAGACCTCCTTACCAAGTCCCTTCAATTCTCTATTCGGACTCACCCCTGGAATTCTTCGTTGAAAAGCATGTCCCTCATCGACAACGCCAGTCGCTCAAAGAACAGGTGCGCTTGTCACCAGCAACGCTGGATCTGGTTGCTGCTGCACACCGCATTCTGTCTGCTCACACAAATGCTCTTGAGAGAGCAGCATCGGATCTTTTCCGTCGCTGTGAGCGGCTGCAAGGGGAGATGAAGGAGCAACTGAAGCAGCTCTCGGATGTGGCTGAGCGCATTAAGGGGGTCTCGAGTGATATTGGTGAGGATGGCCAGCGGCGAGAGGGCTCGAGGAGTGATGAGGCGCTGGACAAGAGGCTGAAGGCTGCAAAGGAGAGACAGGCGCAATTGGTTGAGAGATACGAGTCGCTCCGAAACAAGGTCCTGAAGTCGGGTGGCCGTCCACTGAGCGAGAGGGAGAAGGCATGGCTTTCGGAAGTGGAGGCCTTATCTGCTTCGTTGGAGAGAGAGAAGAAAGAAGAAGAGAAGGATCAGAGTTTGTCACAGCGATTGGGAACCGTGAGTAGCGCCGCTCTCAAACCGCATACAAGTGATGCTGACATTTGCTGCAGGTCAAGGAAATAGCGGCGGATCTTCTGGCCGAGGCCAAGTCCATTGCAGCCAAGGCACCTGTCGCACCGGAACCTGGGAGCCCGGCGTCCCCCACTGCCGCTGGGCCAAGAGTCCCACAAAGGCTACAAAGAGCGAAGATTTCCGATGCCATGCGGATGGTCGAGCGAGAGTAAGTTCTTTCTTCTAGCGATAAGTGCTGCATAAGCTAAGTCATCGTCTTCAGGTCTGCTGTCATTGAAGCCATTACGTCTCGATTGAACCGACTGAACTCGAGCATCTAAATTTCACTTTGAACTGTCGGATGGGAGGGATTTTAACGTGTCATCTATGATCAGCAATTGAGATTGCATAACCTTAAATGATTGAGGCGACGCCTGCTAGTAATCCAAGTTCACCTTAGAAAGTATTTAAAGCACTCATGCTCGGCATTTCGAGATTATCACTTCCTCACAACTCCCCTGGAAACACATAAGCTGAAATGTAGTGACACTGCCCTACTATGTCCTCCGCTTGGTCACCCTCTTCCCCAATACAACCGGGTCACAGCTTCTTGAGAGATCACACTCGGTTTCCTGGACAATCGACTCCTGCTGCCCTTCATCTTGGGCTGATTCAAGCGCATCCCCAACTTGACTCTTCTGCTCCGTACCCGGTGTAACTTCCTTCTAGCCTTCACCACACATCATCTCGTACTCGCTCTGAATCAGTCTTCGTCTGCGACACCACTCCCAGTACTTGCAGCGGCTTAAGGAGTCATCCCAGATGCATCCGCAGAGAGTGTATTTGCGGGTATACGCTATGCACATCTTAATTTTGTTTCCTTCGCTTTAGCTTGAGTTAATGCTTGAGATGATCGTGGTAGTGGAATCTTGGTGTTGTTAAAAACACTCTGCAGCGTCAATATATATGTTAAAAGCAGAACAGTACCATTGTCTCAAACACAGGGAGAGGGCTAGTCCACCCACAAAGAAAGAGAAAACATCAATAAGCTCAAAGCTCCGATAAAGAGAATTATGAGCTTTAATCTTTTCACGATGTGAGACAATACATTTTTCCTTGTTTATCTTCGGCGACTCAGCTATTGACATGGCGATGGGATAGGGCTATCTTGGCACGTGACGAAGATCTATAGCTTTTGATGGAGGGATTGTTTTTGCTCAAGTCCACTGAAAGAACTGTAAGTATTTTGACAGATGGCTTGGACTGATGTACGGACTGAACGAGTTGCAAATGTAACCACAATGTAAGCGTCTGGGTGGTTACACGATTAATTGATATCGGCTCTGATGTACCTCATTGAGGCCTGAGTCTCGGCAACCTGTATACTCCTATATCAGCAAACTTAGCATCAGATAATTGAACCGTAGTTTCTCACTCTGCGGACCTCGTCAGGGACTAGATAGCCAGATAACCGGGAATAATTGACGCTGAAGGGTTAGATAGAGATGTATACAACTAGGTGGCCAACGGACCTGCAGCTTTATTACAGGTACTGCAGTCGGTAAGGTATGTAGCCTGTGTGCATGGAGGTAGGTTGAGCCTGAATAGAAATGCATAATTTTTTTGTAACTCTAGAAACACTATGATTTCAAACAAACATCACTGGACACTGTTTTGGTATAGTTATCAGCTTTACGTTCCTTCAATTCCCGCAGAACAAGCAGAGTCTTACCGTTCAATAAGGTGGACACCAGAGGCCGTTTCAACAATGCCGCTGACCTGACCTGGCTGCAGCGCAAAGGCTGCATCCTCGAATTCCTTTTGCATCTCGCCACGGCCGAAAAACCCACTTGTGAAGAATTAGTATTGAATATAGCCAAGGAGGGAACTACGATGACTATGGATGTAACATACAGGTCGCCCTTCTTCCTGGCACTGCTACAATCCGACTCCGAGACTGCGATATCACCCAAGCTAACTTCACCCGAGCGGATGCGCTGTTCATGCCCTCGAAGGATCTCGATCGCTTCCTCCTTCGATCGGGTGATCTCCGCCTCCCGCCAACTGCTTGGCCGCCTACTGTCTCTATGCTTGATCAGGAGGTGACTGCAACGGATCTTGCCCTCGCCCTGGCCTGTGCCGTCAGGCCGTCCGGCGGGGGCGCTGTGATAGTTTGCCATGTAGACCGCCAGCAACTCGGTGTCTGTGCCAGCGGGGGGTTCCCATCGGGACTCCTTGGTCGAGGGATTGAAGTAGTAAGGAAGGTTCTTGGAGTTGGAATGGCGAACCTCCCACCCTGCAGGAAGACCTGTTTCTACCTGTGGAAGATGTCGAGTCAGTCAATGCACAAATTAAGGGAACGAGGGACATGGTTTACCATGGTGAATATGATGTGAATTCAAAAGACAATGTAAGAGCTATATGAGGCAAAATGGCCGAGAGATTCAATCTATGTCTGGATCGGTAAGTCGAAGCTGTCAACGGTTTCTTACTACGAGCAACCTTGAGCCGCCCGTACAAACTGCGGGGGAAGAAAGACGGATGGCGGCAAACAGTGCAAACATCCCACTTAAGGTTCAAGGCCGCGCTTGAGTTCCATCCGATTGGGTCTAGCCTCCTTTTGGGTCCGCCTCAGGCGCCAATCCAGCGCTTCTTCCAACTTCCATTATTGATTATTCAGGCGCAAGTCTTTGACCGGGGTCTCTTGTCATCTTTTGCCTTGATCTCTCGCTTTGACATTTCTTCAGCGTACTCCAAAAATACTCGAAACTCAACGTCTTATCTTCTCTCGAAAGTCTATCCTACCTGCTACTGCAAAACTTCTCGTGCGCGACGCTCCCACCTACACCGACAAAATGTCTTCAAGCCCATCTCCGTCCGCCAGTGGCGATAACAAGCAAACTGATCAGATTCATTTCCGTTTCTGTCGCGAATGGTAAGAAATTTCCTATCTCCCATAGTCTTTGTTCTACCGTCAGCTAACACACCGAAACAGCTCCAACCTTCTCTATCCCAAAGAAGACCGCGTTAACAACCGTCTCATGTTCACGTGTCGAACGTGCCACGTCGGCGAGCCCGCGACCTCATACTGCGTTTACCAGAACAAGCTGAACAGCCAAGTTGGAGACACTGCTGGTGTGACCCAGGATGTGGGATCTGATCCAACGGTTTGTCTCCCTGGTTTCTGTGCCCATTGCGGGGAAGAGATTACCTGCTTTACCTGCGGGCAGTTGCCTGAAGACACCCTGTCCGATTGGGATTCTGAGGATTCCATGAGCATTTAACATACTGGCCCATCCCTCCTGTCATGGAAACATTCCAAGATCTGTTGCTTGAGATTTCCGTGGCTGACATGATCTCTCTTTCTTGCTTAGCTTCCCCGATCGAACAAACCCTGTGCGAGCTGCGGTGAAGCGGAAGCAGTCTTCTTCCAATCTCAACAGCGATCAGCAGAAACTGGAATGGTGAGACATTGCCCGTGCCTTTTGACTGCCACGTTTTGCTAACTCCGCGTCACTGAAGAAACTCTACTATGTCTGCTGCGCTTGTGGTAATGTGTTTGTCTGATTTGTGTTGTTGGTGCAGCGTCCGAAGTTTGGATACCCTTTTGTTTGTGATTTTACGGCATTGTTATGGAGTCATGGCATTTCTGGCGATAAGACGAACCGAATGCTTCAAGGATTTCTATTGGTACAAAGTATTTGTTTGAGATGATAAAACGACTCGCTTCCAAATTGGTATATTACACATGCATAGGCGCCAAGGACAGAATTTTCGACCACTGCTTTCCTCGTAATTCTGTAGCAACAACTCCTGCAACCGTAAAGTCAGTAGCTGAGTCAAAAACTTAGATGTAGACCACCTAGAGACTAACCGTTCATTCTGGTTCCGATCGGATCACCCGACTTATTGACCAGCACACATGCGTTGTCATCGAATTTGACAATTGTTCCATCTGGTCTTTGCATCTCCTTCCTTGCGCGAACGACGACAGCGTGCCGGATATCGCCGCGACGGACTTTGTTTGCGATGCCGCTGTTGTTCGTGCTCTCGGGGCCGAAGTTCCGCTGTTTCTGGACCACAACCACTATCCTGTCACCTATTTCCAGTTGAAATCATATCAGAATCAAGGCTCGACAAATCGTAGATATCGCATTAGATGTATAACCCACCGACTGTGGCCGGCCGCTTCTTCTTCAAGACATTCACACATTCGACGACCGCGGCGCCGGAGTTGTCGATGCAGTTGAGCAACGTCTGCCGACCACGTCAGTAAGAATTCAGGAACACGATCGAACTTCCGGAACAAAATACCGCTTACCTTTAATTGAATCATTTTGATAGTATGAATGCTAAGGAGGGGTATCTGACGATGTCAGGGCCGTCTTGCCTGGGCTGGCCGAAAGATTTCCATGTCCGGGCCAGCAGGTTTCGCCGACCGCCGACCCCGGAAAAAGCGCACCAACTGCAGCACATACTGCCGCATGACTGATCGCATGGGCAACGCAGCCGCCAAAGTAGTGTTGTCCTAGTGAATGTCGCATTATTGAAGGCCTTTCTCCCCTCCCATTCCATGCGCGCTAGTTCCTCGGAGGCATCCACTCGCCTTTCCACTATGTCCACACTTTTGTATTTGGGCTCCTTTCTCCTTGCGTTTTTATGAATTGCTAAATCTACGCTCCTTTGGCGGATCACCCCTGGTCTCAAGATCCGCACTTCCGCTTGGGCCTCCTCTGACAGGACATTGAGCCGCCAATTCACAACGCATACATTTCATAGCGGCTGACCTTTCTTGTATGGGAGATCGCTGATACTGCCTTCACTATGCCGTCCGCAAAGGAAAGAGGTAGCCCGTCTGTCGACCGTCGCGACCGTCTGACGCTTGCGAAACTGGCCAGCTACGACGATATCGCGACGGATGCGCTGGTGGACCGGGTACGTGGTCCCTCACTGTCATGCATGTTTCAGACTCGTTACTGACTCTTGAACTCTACAGGCTTACTTCTGGACCAATACTCGCAAGAATAGAACCAAATACAACCCCATGCGGGGCATCGTCGACGATGATGTCGCTCGCATCCTCCTACACGATGTCATTGTCGCAAAGGACCCCGCGAAAGCGGAACGAGAATTGCTGGCGATGTCAGGGCTGAAGAAATTCATCGTCCGGTTGCCCAACGATCGCGAGAAGGATTGGTTTCGCCGTCACCTGCGCAAATACATTCAGATGTACCTGCCTGACTCCCCGTTTGAGATCACCACGACCAATCGTTACACAATCACGGAACATGAGGCTGCTGTCTGCGCTCGCAAATTCATCAAGCAAGGACAGGAGATCAAATATCTAAGCGGAACTCTTGTACCCATGACTCGGGAAGAAGAGCGGGATCTGGACCTGAAGCGAAAGGATTTCAGCATTGTGATGTCCAGTAGGAAGAAGACCCCGTCTTTCTTCCTTGGGCCTGCTAGGTTCGCCAATCACGACTGTAATGCGAACGGAAAATTGGTGACGCGTGGATCCGAAGGCATGCAGGTTGTGGCTACTCGGGACATCTACATTGGCGAGGAGATTACAGTATCCTACGGAGACGACTATTTTGGGATTGACAACTGCGAGTGCCTGTGTCTTACCTGCGAACGACTGGTCCGCAATGGATGGGCGCCGCATGTGCCATCCGAGCCTCAGAGTAAGGCGTCCACGCCTGCGCTGAACGATGATAATCTGTCAGTGGACAGTCATGTCTCGCCTAAGAAGCGCAAATTTGCGCCTGACTCAGACACCGAGACGTCTGCCCCGTCCACTCCTTGCAAACGAGGCAAATTTGTTCGCCAGAGTTCCAAATTGAGATCCGAAGTGTCATTCCTCGAAGTTGCTACTTCGATTGAGCAACCTGCTGGCCCTTCCCCCGTGTCCAACGGTCCTGATATTGGGGTCTTGGGTGACAGCACTGTCAAGCCGGAAAACGGCAAGGCCGTGGACGCTGCTCTGCCTTCTCCGCCTGCGGATTCTCCTCCGTCGACTGCCGCGAACGAGTCAGAACGCTCATCAACGTCAACAATCGCAACCTCTGTGTGCGATGCTGCGGTCACAATCAAAGTGGAAGAAACGATAGAAAAATCTGTGGAGAAAGTTTCCGCCATAGCCGAGACAAACATTGACCTATCGCTTATATCTCAACGCGCAGACAGCATTGAGGGAGACACAAAATCAGAGCTATCAGATCAGCCGAGCACATTAAGACAAGAATCTATTGGTTCTAACAGAAAGAAACCCAGAAAGTCTGGTGGAAAAACCGCTGTTGTTGAGTCGGTGGAGGCTGAGTCACAACTCGTCCGTGTTCCAGGGGATTATACCAAGACCTCGAAACTTTTGGCGCAGACATACGACCGCTGGGTTGACTGTCACACTTGTAATGCCTGGTTCGTCCAACATAACTCCTATTTGACTCGACGGGAGTGCCCTCGGTGCGAGCGCCACTCTATGTTGTATGGATATCGTTGGCCTAAGACTGATAAGGAGGGTCCGTCCGACGATGAAGAACGAGTGATGGACCATCGGACGGTGCACCGCTTTCTATACCCTGAGGAAGAGGCACTCATTTCGCGTAAGGACCGTGGCGTCAGTTTCGGCGTGACGCCCACGCCGGAATTATCTGAGCCACGCACAGAGACCGAAGGAAGCGAGGGCTGTGACGACAGGCGCACTACTCGTGCCAGCCGGCGACGCACTCATTCGCTTCGAATGACAATGTGATGATGGCAACTTTTTTGTTTTTTGGCATTCTGTACTAATTGGAAATGGTGTTTTGGTGCAGGTAACATTTCATTGCAATGTTGGATCAGGGATTTACTGGGGGATGGCACTTCAAGACACGGCATATTGCATCTGTAGACATGGTTTCATGATTTGACCTCATTTTTGGCATACCGCTATTCTGTACAAGATGCAGTTATCTTAACATATCCAGTTAATTGGACAATGACACAATCTCACACGTCAGACCTACAGTCACCGACCGTATGCTATTCCTATGGTGTCTTCCCCGCATTTTGCGGTACTCCACGTTTTCTTCATGATTCCTTCGCCGCAATGGGAAATATAACTGCACCAATGGCGAAGGGCTCTGTTTCCCTTTCCCCGACCTTGGCATCTAACTTGGCATCGCCCTTCGTTTGTTCTCCAGATCTCCAGATCTGATCTCGGTGTGTCTCATACCGAGAACCTGCCAGTGTGCTGCTGCGCCAAGTTGCCATATAAACGAGCAGAGATGCTCTGAATCCTACGGCAGTCGTATCCTGGGCCATTCCCTGGTAAGATCGTCGTCAGCCATGGCGATCTCAACGAAGTATATATTTGCTCTTTGCTTCTTACTGACATTCTCGCTCTCTAGCGCCTACGAAGGCCCCCTCGTCGAACTCGACTATGGACAATTCCAGGGCAAATATGACTCTACCTATAATCTCTCATACTTCCGCAAGATTCCTTTTGCAGCGCCTCCAACAGGCCAGAACCGGTTTAGAGCTCCTCAGCCGCCTGTCAGGATCACGAATGGCGTCTATGACACCGATCAGGACTTTGACATGTGCCCGCAACGCACGGTCAATGGCTCCGAAGACTGCCTCTACCTTGGCCTGTTCTCACGACCGTGGGATGCTACAGTCGCTCCATCGTCTGCTTCTAGACCAGTACTGGTCGTCTTCTACGGTGGTGGCTTCATTCAAGGCAGCGCTTCGTTTACACTCCCTCCGTCCTCATATCCAATCCTGAACGTAACCGAGCTTAATGACTATGTGGTCATCTACCCCAACTACCGGGTCAATGCCTTCGGCTTCCTTCCAGGCAAGGCAATCAAGCGCTCTCCAACGTCTGATCTCAACCCCGGCCTCCTGGACCAGCAGTATGTCCTCAAGTGGGTGCAGAAATACATCCACCACTTCGGCGGCGACCCCAGCAACGTCACGATCTGGGGCCAATCCGCCGGCGCCGGCTCGGTGGTGGCTCAGGTCCTCGCCAACGGACGGGGCAGTCAACCCAAGCTCTTCGACAAAGCGCTCGCCAGCTCGCCATTCTGGCCAAAGACCTACGCATACGACTCCCCGGAAGCAGAAGCCATCTACGACCAGCTCGTCACCCTCACCGGCTGCGCCAACGCCACGGACTCCCTCGCCTGCCTCAAATCCGTCGACGTCCAGACCATCCGTGACGCAAACCTGATCATCAGCGCCAGCCACACCTACAACACAAGCTCCTTCACCTGGGGCCCCGTCATCGATGGCGAGTTCCTCCAGGAGACCCTCACCACCGCCGTCGCCCGCCGCAAACTCAAAACCCACTTCGTCTTCAGCATGTACAACGCCCACGAGGGGGAGAACTTCCTCCCCTCCGGCCTGGGCAAGACCGCCACAACCGCCGGGTTCAATTCCTCGGCTGCAAGCTTCCACACCTGGCTGACGGGGTTCCTGCCGGGTCTCTCGCCCGAGCACATCGCCCTCCTCGAATCAAAGTACTACCCGCCTACCGGCGAAACCGAGACAATCGACCTGTACAATACGACGCTCGTCCGCGC